GGGATGGCAGTTCTCTTGTGGGCGATGGGTGAGGTGGTCACTGACCCACCTGTGAAGTAAGGACCCCAGCTGCCCACTATAGTCTTCCCACCACTCGTTGAGTTCTTTGGTGGATGAGACTTTACAGAGATAGCAAACTTCAGCCAGCATTAACTTTAGTCACCACAAGATGGCACCTAAGCAGAGTCTGGAAGAGAAAAGGAAAGACGGCGCCAAAGATGGCACCTAAGCAGAGGCTTTAGAACAAAATTCGGACGTTTCTTGAGGACATGAACGTCTCACCACCCGCCTTCAGATGTTTCTTCAGGACTTGAACCTCACACCATCCGCCCAGACCTAGGGAAAGGTTCACACCGTTCCCATAGGCAGTCAGATTGGGCACGGAGGATATATCTTGGGGTCTCAAAAATTCGAGTGTTTCTTGGGGACTCAAACCCCTCACCACCCGCCTTCATATGTTTCTTGAGGACTTAAACCTCTCACCATCTTAACCTTACCAGCCCAAAGTCTTCTGGGCTGATCAGACCTGGCGGGGCGAAGTTTTCACTCTTCTCTTGGAAGAGATCCATTATCTTCAACCCCTTCCACAAAGCCAAGTGCTTTAAGGAAAAGTGTTATAGACGAAAGGTGAAGACTAGGAAGCGAAAATGGGCAGATCAAAGGGAAGAGAAACCTAATCCTGTTAGAGCGGGGCACAAGTGAAGAGTCGAGGCCAAGGAAAACTCACTGCTTCGAAGAGGCACTGAACAGGGAGGTCCTGGCAGCCGCTTGCCTTTCCAAGGGTCTGGATTCTGTGGGCTGAGTCCACTCATGTCCTTGAACCCAAGACTAAATCAGTCCCTTCATGGTCGCCAAACTGTTACTGTCAAGGACATGGCGGCCCTCCGGACTCAGTGGGTCCTTGTCTTTCTCTTGTAAGAATACATAGAGAGACAATTTTTGGATTGAGCTCTAACACATTTATTTTACTTGTGACAAGTAAAAGGAGTCAGTCAGGGCTCATGCCTCTCCAAAAGACTGGATCACAAGGGGGAAGCAAGGCCAGGGCTTACATGGGTTCGGTGGGGACAATAGAGCAATGAATATTCAGTAGGTGTCTTCGAAGGGGCGGGTACTCCTTGGAATGGTAGTGCATACTAATTAGGTTGCATGTGCGTCTGGAATCCAAGATGGCATCTGCTGATATTCAAGACGGAGTCCCCTCAGCAGCTCTTAGCATCACTTATTATGGGATATGGCACGGGCACACAGATCTTGTGTATTACTTCGCCCCTTTCGGTGGGCCATAACAGCAGTCACACTTTGTTCTTCTGCGCATGTGGAGGCTGTAAGGAGGGGAAAGGGACTAGAAAAACACTAAGGACGAAGTAGTAATTCACAGGTTGTTTTAACTTTATTTTATGTTGACAGGATGTGGTTCCTGTTTACCCAACTTCCAGGTGGTAGTCTTTTAACAGCTCTTTTATTCTGCCAGCACGGTTAACCCTTTTATTCTGCCAGCACAGTTGACCCCATCTGTCGCACCATCTATACTTGCCACTAGGCAAAAGAGAATCACAACACCATCATGGTTTGAGGATCTGCCTTGCTTCTCACCCTCAAACCATCTGCTGGCTAGCCCACTTCCTGAGCTTTTCGTAGCCACTGAAAGGAGCTAACTTGTTCTTGTTGTTGTTGTAAATACATATGTGAGACACTCACAAGTTGTCCCAGATTCCTAAATAGCCAGGAGGCCATTAGAAAATGAGGACCAGTCACTAATAGTGATTCTTCCATGACCCTTCTGACCAGAACTTGAACACACTTGATGCTCCCAGAACATTAGCACATGGAAAGTAGCTTCTATTACTTAGAAAAAGAAGCAGACAGCACTCAGAAAAAATGCAGATCCATTGTTTAGTCGGTCCCACCTACTACTCTAAAAGGTTGTCCAAATGAAGATGATAGCTCTTCTACATGTACCCCATTTTGTACTATAGTTGAGGAACTCAGAGCCCTTCCTTATGCAGGTCCCCCTGGGCAGGTAGGCTTAGTTAAGTGGGCTGAAAACTTCTGCTACACATGCTCCAGTAAGCACCACAGCCAAGGGATGGCCAAAATCCCTTCCCCAGCCATTTTTATATTCCAAAGCCTACATGACATGCTACATGCAGTGAAAGTAGATTTTTCCCACCTGACCACCCTAGGTGGGGGGTCAGACACCTTGGCGCCAACCCTGCTTTCACCCTGCTACCAAACATCAGGCCTCAGAGGGTAGGGGACTGAGGCATTGTCATTCCCTCCTCTGTTCCTTAAGCCTGTTGCAAAGGTCATGAGTTGGGAGCTCCCAACTCATTTACACATGTTTAAGTATTGCCTGATGGTTTTAGAAAGACAAAGAGCACCTTAATTGCTCAGGAATTCCAAGGGCTGTTTTCAGAAACCAGAGACAAAAGACCAAGCTGAGTTCTTTGCCCCACAAGATATATAACACATTTGCCAATTCAACGTTTTTGATGTGTACAATTTAGTGATATTAATTATAGTAGTCATGTTGTGTAACCGTTACCCATAATTGTTGCCAATTTCGATCACCATAAACAGAAACTGCTTTGAAAGCAGCTAACTTTTCTTGACCGCTTCTATGTGTGGCTTTACATTTAATTCTCAAAATATTATTATTCCTATTATATAGATATGGAAACTAAAACTCACAGTAGTTAAGGTATCCTTTGTCTTTCTGGTTCTCCATCTTGCAGAAATGGTTCCTTCGTAAGGTCTCAGTTTTAAATGTTACTGCTTCAGAGACCTTTCACCACAATCCTTTATAAAGTAGTTCTCCTTTACTTTTCTCTATCACAGCAGCTTATTAATTTCTTCAAGGCATATATCATGATATTTGTTTACTTCTTTATTGCCTCTCCCAGGAGAGCCAGGATCTTATCTTCTTGCTCAGTACTGTATTCCCAGCACTTACTGCAGTGCCTTGAATATAGTAGGCATTCAGTACGTATTTGTTGAATGAATGAATGAAAAGTGAGAAAGCGCCGACTTTAGAACATAGCACTGTCTGACCCCAACACTCTACCACATGAAATATTGTATGACCCCACAGAGCATCATTATACCATTGAGCGGCCCTTCTAAGCACAGAGCCCTGTGCGACTGTACTTGTCCAACGTCCATGAAGCCAGCCCTGCCTTGATCCTATAGCCAAGCATAATTATCCTGTAGGTGATAGGAGGCCACTAAAAGTTTTCTGCTGTTTTTGATTAAAAAGATGTTTTAATAACCAGAATTAAAAATAGCATAGGAAGCATACTGATGCATTTTGGCAACACAATGATGCCAGGTCTTGGAAGACATGCTTCTTCTCTTCATTCTACCTCTCTCGGGTAAGCCTCCTGTCTAGAGATGTGGAAAGACCAAATTCCTTAGCGTAGCATGTAAGTCACTTCACAAACTGACCCCTGCTTAGTTCTCCAGCCTTAGCTTTCAAGACACCATTTTATATCCTACTTCCAATGGTTTGGTGCCCTGAAAGTTCCAGGCTGATCCCGGCCTTCATGGCATAGCTAACGTAGCTCTCTGTCTGGAATATTCTTCCCCACCTTATCTCAACTGCCAAGAAATTCTGCTGTAATTCATCACTTTGAGCCAAGGTTGTTTTCAGAAGTTGTATTTTTCTAAAATACAGTTACAGATATTTTTAACTGAAATTAAATATTAATATATGAAGGTAGCACCAAATGTGGGTATAATGAGCACAGCTTGACCAAAGTAAATGATGCCACTAAGAAGCGCACAAGAGACAATGATATTTGTGCTAAAGAATATGACATATAATTTGGCAACGACACCAACAATAGCCAAAAAAGTGTATGGTCACGTATGTATGTGTATAGGCAGGTACAGGTGTGTACATATGTGTGCACAGATAGAAGTATCTGTATGTATGTATATGTACAGATATGTGTGTGCACACATACTGATAGAGGACACAGTTACAGATACTTCGTCAGACATAACCAAACACCTGGTGAGATTGCTTTTCTGGATTTGAAGGCTTAAGATCTTAGTCTCATGGGACAACTCAGTCAACTGGCATAATATTGTTCTTAAAGTGTTTGTTGTCCATCCTTATGTGGTGAGTAGTGTCTGGGGTCTTAAAAGCTTTTGAGCAGCCATCTAAGATACAACTCTTGGTCTCTGTTTGTCAGGAGCAAAAGTGAAAGAAAGGAACCAGAGTCTCAGATCTAGTCTACAGGGCTAATGCCCTACATGAGCCATGGCCTCATCTACCCTGAGACCAGAAGAACTAGATGGTTCCCGGCTACCACTACCAACCATTCTGATCAAAGCCACAATAGATGGACCCTGATAGAACAGGACTAAAACATAGAACAGAACTCAAATTCTTAGGAAGTCCAGACTTACTGGACCAGTTGAGACTAGGAGACTTTCTGAGACTATCACCCTGAGATGCTCTTTAAACCTTGAACAGAAACTGTCTCTTGCAGTCACCTTTTAGGAAATAAAATTGGCACACAAAATAAAGGATACTACCTGTGAGTACAGTGCTACATTAAAAAACCATCTATATGAGTCGAAAAGGTCAACAATTACTTTAAAGCAAAGACGAGAAGGTAAGGATGCAGAGAAACTAGAGCACTGGAAATGGAACAACCTGAACACAATTAAAGAGAAGGTTGACACATTGTGAAAAATGTAACTAATATCTAATGGGGACCTAATATGCTGTATAAACTTTCACCAAAAACACAATAAAATATTTTTTTAAAAATTAATATGCATTATTAATTTTCTCACAAAGTTAGTTGACCCCAACACATTAAAGAAACTTATAACAATATATTTTGACAACTGGTTTACCAAATTAGTATTGGGA